TAAGCTAGTTTTCGCATCTCTGCCTTAATGCGTTTAGTGTCCCCTTGTTAGTTTCCCTTTTAAGGACCAGGCACAGCTTGTGTTTGGTGGAAAAGCTTTCATCCAGGTGGTAAGCATACCTCAGTAATTCAAGATGTCAGCTGATATGTGTGGTGTGCATTGTTGGGTAATTCTGAAACCCGACTCACTTTAGTCTTTTAGTTTCGAAATTGTGACCTTGCTCGACTTAATGTTGTGGGGGTTTTTTTTATAATTACTGTGCGTGAGCTTAGCCGCGTTCATGATTTCCAGTAGCAGCTGAACAAAGTGAGAAAAAGAGGAAGTCACTGTTTACATGCTGTTACATTGTTTCCACTGGGTGCTGGAGGGGTTACTACAACTGAACCGTTGTCAAAACTCTGTCAAAAACACTCAAAGGGGTCAGTGTTAATGTCTTGGCTTCTTTATGGGAAGGTTTAATGTGAGATGCTGTTTTTGGAAGTTGTTTTACGTGTTTATGGCTCTTGCTTTACGCTGTTGCTGTAGAGTGCTTCCTCTGCATTTACACAGGAAGGGGTTTTTCTTGGCATGTGAAACCTCAGTGATGCAATACTTGTCAGCAGAGTTTTACCGACCTTCAGTGTGTTTGTGGAGGGATACTGTGTTCCTTTTATCCATACACATGCACATGAACAAGCAGTATTTGACCGATTTGTTTTCTGGTTGCTGAATTGCATCAGCTGTGATTTGCTATTCTAAATTATAATAATAATAACTATTTTCAGTTGACGTCGGATCTTCGTTAAATCACTGTAATGTACCCGTTCCTCAAAACAAAGATGGGAAAGAGCAGTGTCATTGTGTTTGAGTCTGAAACTTTAGAAGCAATAAACAGCCTATTTATAGCAGGGACATTCAGTCTCCACAGAGTCGCAGAAAGCCTGGAAAAGGACTGAACCTGGACAAAATATTTTAATATATTTGTCTGATTAGAATTGTAAATCGACTCAGGGGAATTCAACGAAGAAGCAGTAGCACTGTGGTTTTTCTAATGCAGAGAGGTTTTGGAGGAAGTTATTCACTGCTGAACTTCATGCTATTCCATGCAACGGTCAGGGTGGAGGAACATGAACCTGGGCCCAGATAGTTCATGTTCCTGTTTATGCACATGATAGTTATTGGTATGCCCGGTTGTGGTGTAGCGGTGCATTCCTGGTTCCAGATGTGTGTGTTGCTGGTGTTTGGTGTATTATACTGTGTCAGTGAGTGACGCCACCGTCCCATCACTGTCTGACGCTTAGCTGATCAGAGCCACAGTGCTCTGCTTGTGCACAAATGAAAGCCATCTCCATCCATTGGTTTCTCTGTCTTCCAGGCTGCCACTGGCACATGGTCTCTCTCTCTCTCTCTTTCTCTCTCTCTCTCTCTCTCACACACACACACACACACACACACACACACACACACACACACACACACACACACACACACACACAGAAAGGCAGCTCTACCATAGTGGATGTAAATAAGGCAGAGAGTCATTCTTAAGCTATTTATGGAGCATCCTTGGGGCTCAGTGGAACTGGCCAGCGTGAGTAATGTGTGAACATCATGAATTTGTGTTTTTCTGAAACACATGAATCGGTGTCTGCTGTGTTTGAGAGCTTTAGTTCTTTTTATTTTTTTTTAAATTTGCGGGTTTTTTTGTTAAATATGTTGGGAGTGTGACAGTGATATTTAGTCAGATATTCATAGTGACTCGGCTGCATGAATAACAAATGATTGTGTCCCCAGCTGCCGGCTGCCTGATTCCATAGGTGCTGAAGAATTTTCTGCAGACAGCATGTCAGGTACAGTAAGATTCTCTTTTGTTCTCCTCCCTGTTCATTTTTCATGCTCAGGTGTGTTCGTCTCATGTGTATTAATTAATGCCATTGCTGAATCATTGCTGTCACCCACCCCATGGCTTTTGTTTTCAGAGCTGCGATGAGGGAATAGCTGGATGATGATAATAAGCTAATCCCATTTATACTTTCTTCTTGATGTATGCCAAAAATATACACAGAGTTAGATTTATACACACAAGCAGGGCTGGGCGATATGACCCAAAATTCGTATCTCGATATTTTTTACCTAGATGGCGATATAAGATATAAATCTCGATTTATTTATTTTTTAAGCCATAAAGTAAAAACAAAAAGGGTCAAAGCTGTGTCCCAGATGTCACACAGGCACTTTTATTAACATAGAGCATAGATGTACATAAAATTTACTCAAAAATAAATTATGAGCATTTATTAAATAATAATGCTCCATAAATAAAAGAAAACAATGTTGTTTTTGTGCATAACAAAAAGCTCACAATTGTGCAGTCAAAACGTGAACTAACAGACGCTGAGCATAATAACAAAGACAGATTTCACAGCTGCTCTGTTCCCAACTTCTACTGTGTGACTGACAGCATTGAGTTTGAAATCCTCTTCGTAACCACGTCTCTTAACAGGTGCCATTTATGGTCCTTATACACAGTAGGGTAATATTACGCTGAAGCACATTACCTATCACTCCGCGAGGCTCCTCGGTAGCCGTAATGCTCTGACAGTCCATCAAGCGGTGCAGCTCCGTAGCTTACCAAAGTCGTACTAAAACATTTTTTGACAGATTGCTGAGCGCTGTGTACCACATAAAATCGGTTCGCAGCCATCAAGCACAACCAGAATTCATACATAAGGCGCGCTGTCAACTTTTGAGAAAATGAAAGGATTTTAGGCTGTGCAGCGCCTCTGGGCTGCATGGCGTTAGCGTGGTTAGCTCGTTAGCGTGGTTAGCTAGCTAACACGTTGACGGCGTCCAGCCCCACGCACGGGTCGATGCGCAGTAACTCATTAACGGAGATTTGCCGTGTCCGTCTTGTCGCTTCCTGCAGGTGAAGCGATGGGGGAGGAGGGGGAGTTGTATTCAGTGAAGGAGGGGCGAGGCCGAGTAACGTTGCGTAAAGACAAAAGTGGACGAAAGAGAGGCAAACTTGCGGCTCCACAAGTATAGCTTTAACGTAACATAGACTATATCGATATAAAAGATATTGTCACATCTTATATCTCGTATAAAAATATATCGATATTTTTAAAAACTCGATATATCGCCCAGCTATACACACAAGCCAATAAATGGTTAATTTATAGATATAGGTCATAGGGCTGCTCGATTATGGCAAAAATGATAATCACGATTATTTTCACTGAAATTGAGATCACGATTATTTGACGATATTTATTTAACCCTTTAAGACCTACTATAGAACCAAGTCCACCAGAGCTTATATTATTTTTTTTACATGCTGTAGTGCCATTTGTGGGAGCATTTCAAGTTGCTATACATCAATACAACTGTTATAGCCCATATTTTAATAATATGTATGCATTAAGTCCATAGTAATTACATAAATTGCAAAAAAGTGCAATAAACTACAAAAAAAATTGAAAATCGCTTTTGTTTTGTTTACATATATTTCTACTTGGAGAAATTTAAGAGGCTTATCCCTCAAAACTTTAAATACAATAAAGTTGCAAAAAATAGTTTACAACAACAGGAAATTTATTTTGAGTGTCTTCATAGTTTTATTTTGGAGATACAGCAATTTTTATATACTGCAGGAAAAACAAAAAACAATCCTATGATGCAGATTTGCAAAGAAAACAGCATGTGCATCATTTCACTGTGGGAAGTGTTACGAACAGCTGATAGGAACGGCAAAGCGTGTTTCTGGAATATTATGTTTTTGTTCCTGCAAGCGCTTTTTATGCAATTTTTGCAAAGCTATATGTGGAACGAAACCGTGACCGAGGACAAGCTGATGGCATCAGATGTAAGTACAATTCCTCCGGTTTCATATGCAAAACAAATTATTGCGCTAGCTTACACGGTTCAGATTCTACAGGGATTTAAAAATAGTTACGCAAAACGGAGCGTGCTGCTCTGACCGGCTTTAAAGGGTTAACAATGACTTTAAAAAAATAATATAAAATAGTGTGCAACACCACTGAAGTTTTTTTTTTTTTTTAAACTCTCTTTCAACCAACGGCAGTCACTCTCCAAATAACTTCTGCTTAGCTTTCCGAGCTTCCCTCGGGTCCTCTTAATCAGCGGTCTCCAACCTTTTTTGCGCCATGGACCGGTTTATGCCCGACAATATTTTCACGGACCGGCCTTTAAGGTGTCGCGGATAAATTAGGGAGGGGCTAATAATCGGCTCAGTCATTTTTAATGATCGTTGAAAGCCCAGATCGTAATCGTGATTAAAATTCGATTAATTGAGCAGCCCTAATAGGTCAGCATCTGACCTATATTCCGACTGTTTTGCAGTGCTCAGACAGACACAAACAATAACACTGTTTTGACGACTGGATAAAACGACTGTTCTTGTTAGCAAATGTTTTAATATCTGAAATAAAGTGAAATACATTTTTTCAGCAGCACCTGCAGATGTTTAAACATCACAACAGTTTTATAGATGAATCCATAGGTTTGGATAGGCTTCCATATTCAAAACAAACCGCATTCCTAAAATGATAAGGCGCCGTTACCTTTTATTCACTTAAATACTTGAAAACAAATAACAGAAATAACTCTGGCATGCACGATATGTAAATAGCAGATATTGCAAATGTTTTTTGCAGCTAGTAAATGATTTTTTTTCCCCAGACTTTTTGTGCACATAACTTCATGGAGTGATGTATTCATGTTCAGGTTAGGTGATTGTGCAGTCAAACAAATAAGCTTAAGCTTGTGCTATATTTATGGCAAACTTTCAGTTATATAATGGCTTCTGTGATGTTTTTTTTAGTTTGAATTGACTGATTGGACGATGTTTGCGTCCAGATTTTGCTAATACTTAGTGCACAGGACAGGTGTTGAACTCCAGGCCTTGAGGGCCGGTGTCCTACAGGTTTTAGATGTGTCCTTGATCCAACATAGCTGATTCAAATGGCTGAATTACCTCCTCAACATGTCTTGAAGTTCTCTAGAAGCCTGGTAGTGAGCTAATCATTTCATTCAGGTGTGTTGACCCAGGGTGTTATCTAAAACCTGCAGGACTCCGGCCCTCGAGGCTTGGAGTTTGACACTACTGACTTAGTGGATTCCTTTCTTCTCTCTGTCTGTGCAATCTTTCTGGTATCACAAGTGCTCTTTTTATGTAACTATACTTTTAGTCATTATGCAGTCTTGGAACTCAACTGTTTCCTAACTTGGCCTTTGGGGACCGTGGCCAGTGTTTTGGGGCTTCCGCTGTAGCCAAATATTTGCATAACAGATATCGAGTTGAAGCCTTCCTGTTCCTTGTCCCGATCATTGTTTACCAATGTAGAGAAACTGTAAATAATCTAATCAGAAAGCTAAATGACTGTGAGACAGTAGCTGATAGTTTAGAGATAGCATTACATCCAGAATCGTACAGATTCGTCTGTTTTCTTTTTTTCCTAAGCTTTAATAATTCTTTCTTGTTTGCTGTTGGTGCATCAACACCAGTAAAGTGTGAACAGGTCAACTAAAGCTAAACCACTGCACATTAAATATGCACTAATATAGGCTGAGCATTAATATCAGCCTTGTTGACTATACGAATGAAATGACTTTTGCCTTTGGCAGCAGCCAGTGTTTATCTGAAGGTCACATCAATTTTGTGCTGGCTCTGTGTTCAGAAATAGTCTACAAAAGAGCTGAAAGGCACAAAAGAATTTACCACTGAGTATATCCCTGTTACATGCATTTTGCAGCGAAACTGAAGGTTTCCTTGTCCTTTCTGCCCAGAATTTTTTATCCTGTCAGAAAGCTTTTCTCCTCCTGAGCTTTTATTGACTCCCACAGTTTCCCTTAACTGCCATTTCTTAATGACAATTCAGACAGAGGAAATTGCATGTTGAACGCACTTTGATATCTTTTTTTAGCCTTCCGCTGCTCTGCAGACATCAATTAACTTCGTTTCACATCTCCATTCAGTTTTAGAGGAGTCCATAGTTATTGAGTGTTTATCAAGTCTTGGAGCTGTCCACAGCTTTCCTAATAACAAATCTTTATTAGGAAATGAATGGACGCTCTTATGAGTGGATGGACACCCACAATGTCATAAGTAGTATTTTATTTGGAGAAAAAAAACCCTAATGAAGTAAACGGTGCATTAATGTTTTAAGAAAGCTAATTTAGTGTTTGTTTGCTGCAGTAGTTTGAAGTAATTAAGCAGTAATTATATCTTAGTGAAAAATCCAGTAAAATAAAGCTCGCCCTGAAGTATATTTTTGAATGAACTCCTGAAAATGTCAGAAGAATCAGGTTGGAACTAAACCAGACTGTGCATGTGTGAAAACAGCTAATGGTTTTACCATAATAATAAACCCCACTATAGAGCTTCAGAGCTATGTTTTCATTGAATACACTAGGCAACAAAAATCAACATAATTTCTCTAAACTTTTGAAATAATGTGAACATAAACAAGTAAGTAGTACTTTAAGAGTGATGTGTGACGGAGGCTGTCTTGTGAAGCAGCAGCAAATGATGAATCAGGAGTTTGTGTTGTGAAATTTGTTGTTGACTTGTGTTACATGATCAGCTGTAAGCTGTTTCAACTGGTCTAAACAGGGCAACTCTCAGGGAGCTCGTCCATCTCTGATGCCTGTGCAGTGAAACCTCCTTTCTGTGTCTCTTATCTCTCCAACATAAACAGAGTGAGGATAAATGTGAAAGCAGCAAGTATGACTTATTCTTGAAAGCAGGAGAGATTCTTTGAGCTATGCAGCCTATACTTGCAGTTGTGACTCGTTTTAGTAAAACTGCTTTCTTGATGTTTTTACAGCTCCATCCTTCCCTGAAAAAATGTCCCCTGTTAAAGCTCTCACCATGAAGGACTATGAGAATGTAAGTGATTTCTGTCAACTTTCTGTTCTGTATGTTGCATATAGGTGGTGATACTGTCTTCTTGCAGTAAGTTGTATATTTACAGCTTTTTAACGAGTAGCTTCAGAGAATAAGCTGTCTGGATGAGGCAGTCAACTCTCCCTCCTGTACAACAAACAGGATAAAAACCTGATTCTCCATTCAGCCGAAAACCAAACCACATTGACCATTTAAGGAAATTTAGTGATGCAGTTTTTGTGCAAGAGGAGGAGAAGGAGGATTGAGGTGGGCTGAAGTCAATATTTCAGCATTTGATTGGAATGCTTGCTTGAAAATTTCGGGCCCGTGCTGTCTGGCCTGCATGATTAGAGGTTTTTACAAAGGGGTTCAGAGTTCTGACTCCTCCCTTTGACTGTCCACCCAACCCCCACTACCAGATGTATGCTGTTCTGAGCCTAGAGCACAATGATGCACAGTCTACTTCACACACATAAGCATTTTAAAAATAACTATACACACACGGCCCCTTTCTGCAGTGTAAACATGTCGGGTAGCTTTTTTTTGATAAATGAAGTGCTCATATTTCTTCTTTGAGCCCAATTCTTTCTCTCAACTTGTTTTCTTTGCATTTAAAATAAATCAAGGAAATGCAAATTAAATTGCAGCTCGATGAAAGTTAGAAATGCATCAGTTGTTCAACTGCCTGATTGCATATTTATGGTTTGTTTTTTTTACATTGATCCCCAGCAAATCACAGCTCTGAAGAAAGAGAACTTTAACCTGAAGCTGCGCATTTACTTCATGGAGGAGCGCATGCAGCAGAAATGTGACGACTCCACTGAGGACATATTCAGAACGGTGTTGTATTTATTTTAGTGTTACAAAACGTGCATTACTCTGAATGTCTTACATTTGTCTGACACCACTCCCTGCAAAGCTTCATGTGACTCAGTGTTTCCCCTCAATTTTGAAATGAGATCACAACATGAGCAACAGCAGCTGGATTTTATTCAGCCAGCATCTTGCATTCATGACCTTGGAACAGCTGTCTTGTCTTTTTTCAACTATTGTTATGGTGGCAGCTTTGTTTAAGTGAGCACATTTAACCCAAAGTGTCATTTAAAAAATGTCATCTTTAAGAGGAAGCTTCCCCAGCCTTGTTTTTGTGCTTTGGTGTTTGAGATGACTCCAGATGGGAGGTTTTTACTGAAATTTTGTCTGTTTATAGAATATTGAGCTGAAGGTGGAGTTGGAGTCGATGAAGAGAGAGCTCGCAGAGAAACAAGAGTTACTCGTGTCTGCATCGTATGTGTCATTCTCTTAATTCGGTTTTTTGCTAGTCACACATGATGCCATTTAGACCAGTGTTAATTTTGACAGTATGATTTTTTTTGATTGACGTTTAGTCTTTTCACTAAAACATCACTTAGTTTTAGTTATAATTTAGATCATTGCTGATTGGATTACTTCCCAACTCATCCCGCATTTTGACACAACTTAATTAGTTCTGATTGGATCTCGTTTCTTTTTGATAATTTATCTGGTTTTTATTTGTTGACAAAAGTGTTAGTACTTTTGTTCGCGAAATAGTTGTCGCTCTGTTTTTGTCTGAAGAAAAAAAACAAAACCTTATCGGTCAACAAAATTAACACTGGTTCAGACATACATAAATGGCAGCACAAAGTAATGCGAGTCAGTATTTAAGAAATATGTAGGCTGATAAACTTATTCTTGTACGTGACTGCTCATCAGTAAAGCGCTGGAGAGTCTGGCTGGCCGAGAATCGGGAGAACCCCAGCGTGTGAAAGAGCAAGCTCAGAGGGAGATGGATGCACTCAGAGATGCATTTAGCAAGAGGATAGCTGACCTAGAACAGGTGAGTGACATTATAGCGCTAATTTTCAAATCCTGATATTGCAGTTCACTGTGTATATTTTGTTTGGTTCAGTGCTCATATTAGCCAAATTGTGTCTGCTGTTAGTTTCACTTGTTTTGGTGATAATTGTGTTGCCTTTTGTGTTTTTTGGCATTTTTACATCATGGCAGTGTTTACGAACAGCAGAGGAAGAGGTTGAAAAGATGGCCGCCATCGCTGAGCAGGAGAAACTTAAGAATATAAACATGGAGAAGCAGCTCCAAGCCTTGGGTCCACCCAGCACTTTAACCACTGGTCCAGTCCTCAGCCCCGTCAAAGATCTGCAGCAGGCTCTGCAGGAGAAAGACAAGTAGGGACAAATTAAAACAAACCAAAAAAAAAAGCAGACTATGTGTATATACTGAAAAATATATTTTTGGAGAAAAACCTTAGCATTTTCAACATTTTCTACTCATCCCAGTATCATTGAACAGCTGAAGATCACTTTAAAGAACCAGGATGCTGTGATCCATCAGAGAAACAGCAGAGACAGGCAGACAGATGCTCCATCGGCCGACACTGTTAAACAGCTATCTGCTCTTATAGCTGATAAAGATCAAGAGCTTAAGGTGAGAAGCTTACATGTTCATAAAGATGTGAAATTTAAGAGGTTTTTCTCAGTGATGCCTCAGAGATCAGTTGCTTACTGGTTTTGTGCATATATTTAGTTTTTGTCATTTACAGCAATAATAGGCTACTTAAATACTTTTGAATATGTTTACTTAGTTTCTACACTTCTTCCAATATGAAGCAATATTTAAGTGAACTCTCACTGTTTACAGGCACTGAGGGACGAGCTTGATAGAGAGAGAGATAAAACTCAGCCGGACCATCAGGTTGGTTTTATTTTGATACAGAACAAACTACCTTAAACTACTCTGCAATGGCACAGACTGCAGTTGGCTACTTAGAATCTCTTTCCTGTTTTTTGTCTGATTCGTAAACTTTTTTAGAGCTTTCATTCTTCCTTTGCTTCCTGGTGTAATGGTTAACACATTTGCCTTACACACCAAAAGTCCCCACTCATAGCTCAGGGTGGTCACAAGATGTTGTATTACTAACGCTGGTTCCAAGTCTGAATAAACAGGAGGGTTGCATGAGGAAGTGTATCTGCCCTAAAAATCTATGCCAGATCAAAACATGCAGATCCAGCTGCTGTGGTAACCCCTTGGGAAATAAGAGAGCAGCCAAAAGTACCTTTTTTTGCTGTATGTGTTCCTGCCTTGTTATTTTGCTTTGTTGTAATAGGTAAGCCACACACAGAAAGCTTTTTTTGTTTAACAATCATTCCATGTGTCAGATCATTTAAGCTCACAGAAACTTTTCTCTGCATCTGTTGCTGGTTTGATAGTTGAAATGTGTAAAATGTGTGTCTAGGATTCTTTTTTTTTTCCATATTTCTTTTTTTCAAATGAATTCCCTGTTCTAGTGTGAAGGTGTTATTACTTTTGTTGTAGTATTTCTGACAATTTCACAAAAAAACTTAAGCTTCATTTAAAAAGCTGAAAGTTTGCATCTAGTAAAGTGTAAAAAAATGCATCTGTGAAGTGGCTGGTTGTAAAGCCTTTGACTAATGATGCTACTAGTACTAAGTTGACACTTGCTTTTTTTAACATTGAAATGTCAAACAAAAATAATTAATTATGGTGGTAAAGTGATGTATTTTAGTGTTGCACAGATGTTAAATATCAAATGCATATTTTATCCACTTAGAAGCAATGACTGCGTAGAGAGAATGTGTCTCATTTAATCACAGCGTTGTGCAGGCTGCTGTGTTGCTGACGTGTAAAATAGAAAGCTGTTAGCTGGGCAGTGTCCATGGTTCCTCTTTAGGCGTTGGCGTAAGACTCGGGCCATAGGGTTAAGGCTGGATTAGTTTGCTGTCTGAAGACGCTTCCTCCGGGGATTGTTATTGGCTTTCTTTCTTTAGTAAGTGGAAAAATGGTGTAGGCAAGAGGTGTTCATGAGCTGTGGCTAAACAGTTGAATGTGCTCCATTCATTGTAAAGGATTTTGCAACACTGGGGAAAAACCTGTTTATCAGGGATGCTTGACAGACTTGATGCTTGACTTTTTGTAAGTTAAAGATGTAATGGAATATTGCAAAGTAACGGTCACCAGAAAGTACTCTGTAATCTTAAATCTTCCATGTACTGCCAGGAAGGATCAGCTCTATCAGAGTGATTGGCTGATGCCATCACTACCTGCTTGGTGCCAGCTTTTGTGTCTGATGCCTTTTTTAAGGTATTTGGGAGAGTGTTTTCTAGAGATGGTCTGGCATGGGCCCTAACACAGATCACTGCAGCAGTCCTAGAGGATTTGTTGATTTGATTGCATGCATGAGGGAGAGTGGAATAGAGGCGGGAGCGGGGATTATTGAGGCTTAGGGCTTACAGTGCTTTGCTCTCAGTCTTTCTCCTCTGTGCTACGCTTGCTGGTGTATTGAGAGAACATGATAGATGGCTCTGTCTGGCGAGCTGATGGCCATTAAGTCACTAGACAGTTGGTGTGTCACTGACAGATTTCTTGGACTCAGTTTAAGTGGGCGAGTGTGGAAGATCTAAGGTGCCATGAGGGATCCATGTCGCATATGTGGTGTCCGTTTGGTGGGAAGCCAGTGTCGCTGGATTTTCAGCTCATCGGGAAAGAGGAAGCTACAAGTCATCCTGTCCCATGTGCTGGGGAGAGAGGTGACTCGTGACGGGCATGGAGAGTTCCTCTGTGGAAAATGTGTGTTCCGGTTGGAGAAGGTTGTGCAGTTTGATATAAACATCGGCAAACTGCAGGAGGAACATGGCAATCAGATCCAAAAGCTGCAAGCAGAGAAGGAACACCTTATCCAGTGCATCGTGCACATCTACAACAAAAACAACCCAGAGCGCAGTGAGAGGGAAAATGCAAGCTCCAAGGCTTTGCTCAGTTCTTCTGGGGTCCGCAGTCCTGATGATGAAGCTGCATGTCAGGTGGCTCATGAAGGACTGCAGTTCCGGGAAAGTTTTTATGTGGAGAATCGCATGAGAAGGTGTGTGAGTCTGGATAGGATTGTCAGTAAAGGGGCATTCTCCGGACGTTTGAGCTTAAGGAGCAGTAGGCTGGGATCAGGGGCGGGGCTGGACAGCACTATGAGAAGTTTTGGGCTCCGGGGCACACGCCACCATTCTCAAAGTATGTACCTTGACCTGATTCAGCGTAAGGGAACCTTGGCTAGACCCGGATTCAGCCGCCGCTCCACATCACTGCAGTCACTGAATCGAGAGCTTTCCTCAGACACCCCGACAGATCCTCCGCTCAAACGAAAACTGAGAGAGGCCAGGGTGTTTTTTGCAAGGTATGGGGCCACTGATGACTCGGGAGGAAAGGCTCAGGCCAGAGCACTGCTCCACAGATCCTCAAGTCAACCTTCGTTGATCTCTGACCTGATTCAGGTCCTGCGCTGCATCTCAAAGCAGCAGGTGTCTGCCCCAGCAGGATGTCACATCCCTGTCTTGAAGAGGTTAAATGCTGGCTCTGTCAGCACCCAAGCCAAGCGCAAACATAGAGTAGATCTGAAGTCTCTGCATGACCTTTCTGAGGAATTTGATGATGAATACACTCCTGTCAGAGTGAAGGTAGTTCATTTCAGTAATCCCACCATCTATGCAAACCACTGTAGCACTGGTAATGATCTGTCCCAAGTACCTTTGTTGATAAACACACTTCTCTAATTAATTTCTCCTGTTCTGTTGTTTGTGTGTTCTCTTGCTAAGAAGAAGAGTGATGTTAATCAGTTGGAGTCGATCAATAAGCTGCTGACGGACGAGCTGAACCTGGTTAAAAGCACCAGTGAGAGTCTGGCAAAAACCCTGGAAGATTCCCAGAATCAGAACAAGGTAGTTCACATGTTCCTCTATTAAATATCCCTAAATTGTATTAATCTATTACTCTGTATGAAATCACTAACTGCTTCATGTAAACAGACTCTGTCAGTGATGTTAGAGGAGAAGGAGAATGAACTAAACTCTGAGAAGAAAAATGCTCTAAAGCGAGATAAAACCATCCAGGGACTCACTCAGGTCCTCAGAGAAAAGGAAAAAGAGGTAATTTATTATTTACTTTGTTATTGTCATTGTATCTCTTCTCTGTATTATGCAAAGTTTCAGGCCCAACCTTGTATTGCCTTTGTATTGCAGATTGCTGAGCTGTGTCATGAGATTGAGGACAGAGATGATGCTTTAGCCAAAGCTAGAGATGCAGCACATAAAGCCCAACTGCAGAAATACCAGGTATGTTATATACACCTTTTATATAGAACCAAACTTTATACAAAGACATTCCTCATAATACTGTTACCACAATGTGTACCCTGCTCTATATGTGCCTTAAACAGATAGAAGTCAATTTTTTTTTTCTCCTTCAGGGAGCAGAGGAACACCAAAACCTATTAATGGAAAAGCAAACAGAGCTGGCCCAATTACAGGGGGAACACCACACCAAGGTGCTTGAAGCCCAAAAACTGCAGCGAGCACTGGATAGGAAGGAGCAAGAGCTGGCTGACTTACAGCAGGCAAAGGATCAGCTTGAGGTGGAGTTGGAGGACCTGCAACAACAGAAAAAGAAAGGAGACAAAGCGCTTAATGTAAGATAGGAGGATGACAGGACTGTATCCACAATAAAACGAGCAGGCATTCTCCTCTTAATCGTTTTGTTGTGTTGATTTTTCATTATCTGTTTAAATATTGACTTTTGTGTGACATTATTATAATTTCCTCCACAAGGATTTACACAATCAGCTGAAAAAGCTGAGTGGGGAGATCGGGGAAAGGGAGAGTGCTCTGGAGCAGCAGTACCAAGAGCTGCTGGACCAAACCAAAACAAAGCTGCAGGCCCATGAGGTCACCATCCAGCGTCTCACATCCACCTTGGCTGATAAAGAGCAGCAGCTACAGGTGACACATCATCACTAAACTTATGCAGACAGACTTTAGCTCAAAAGATAAAAAAATGAGTTGCTTCCTTTTTTACTTAGCCTAAGTATGTGTAAAAATTGAATTTTAGCCCATTACTGCTGTTTCGAGCCACCACACATGATAAAACAGTAATCATAGGAGAGCAGTTAGCTAGCAGCAAAGCCTGTCAGCTGGATTATAAGCATGTCATGAAAGCAATCGGAGCCAAAGAGAAGTTGGTGCTCCAAAGTGACATCCAGTTCTTCTGAGTGCGGTGTATTTAGTAACATTGTTTTTATGTGTTTGTCAGGAATACATGAACATGGTCAGAGACTTTGAGCAGAGCAAAAGTCCAGGAAGTAACGACAGTATTCTCTCCAAACTGCGCCAAAGGTTGAAAGAAAAGGAGAAGGCTTTGGAGGTGGGTATTCCTTCACTGCAATCTTTTAACCATGGTGACTTTGCCTGGTTTCTGACATGTTTGTTTGTTCTCTTACAGCAAGCACTTGATGAGAAATTTGCTGCTATTGAAGAAAAAGACAATGAGATACACCACCTGCAGCTGTTACTAAGGGAAAAAGAAAGAGACCTAGAAAGACTCAACAACTTGCTGTCTCATAATGAAGAAACTATCAATGTAAGTATCCGGAACTGGGATCTTTTCTATTGATTGATAATCACATAGTTGTGATTAAGTGTTATGCATACTCCTTTCTACTCCTTTCTTTGCAGAATTTTGACAGTCTGATTAAGGAGAAGGATGCAGAGCTGCAGCATCTTGCAAGTACCCTAAAGAACCTTCAAAGAGCCAAGCAAGATGTGGAAGACAACCTGAACAGATCACTGAGGGAGAAGGACTCCATCATTAGCCAGCTGCAGCTCTCCCTGGAGGGCAAGACAAAGGATATGGAGGTTGGCTGACAAATAGTCACTCATTAAGGCCAGGTTCCTTATAGTTTTTACTGTTCTGGTTTATGTCATTTGTATTTCAGTGCTTATTTTTCCCCCCTCTGTCCGTAGCAAATGTCTGAATCATTGCTGAACCAGTCACAGAGCCATGCGCGTGATCTGGCTGAACAGATGGGCCAAAGGTTAAAGGTCACAGAAGCCATGCTGGCTGAAGCTGTCAAGGCCAGGGAAAGACTGGTTGCTGACAATGAGAGTGCTGTAGAAAGCCTGTTTGCTACAATTAGCAGCAAAGACCAACTTCTGAAGGTTAGCATTTATGACAACAGGGCACGACAGAGTGTGCACAAACAACGCTAACACTATTAACTTTGACTCTTTGTCGTCTCCAGGAGTCTGCAGAGCACTACAATCGCATGTTGTCTGAGCGTGCTCAAGAGATTCAGGAGCTGAAGAAGCAGCTGTCTGATAGGCAGCAGGAGCTTGCCACTGCTGAGAAGCAAAGCTCCTCAACAGCCCAGGAGAGTTATTTAGAGACCGCGCAGCTCAAAGCCCTGCTTGCTGAAAAAGACAGCCTTATTAACGTAAGATCCTGTGGGATACAGCACAGCCATTCAGCTGTAAAATACTGTATGTGGAAATCCAAACTCCCAAAGAGAATAACACATTCTGCCCCCCAATTCTATGCCCTGTTTTGAACGTGTTTTAAGATATTACCTGTAAACATTTGAATGTGCTGATTTTATATCTTTATAAACTGTCAGAAGCTTCTTCAGCGTGGTCAGGAGAGAGACCAGTTTCTGGCAGAGATGAGGCAGAAAGCAGAGCCAGATCAAGTGTTGAATCTCAGACAAACTATTCAGATCATGCAAGAGAAGTTGGACGAGAGGGAAGGTAATGGATTTAGACCTGTAACACCCTCGCGCAGGTTATTTAAAGGTAGACTGCATGTTGGTGCTACGTTTGACTTTGTTTTGTCTGTGCTGAAGCTGAGCTGTCCAGGAGAAACAGCGAAGACAGCCAGGAGAACAATCCACTTTCCAAGAAAACAGTGGTCGTCCTGAAGAGGGAGCTGGCACAGAAAACTGAAGCACTGAACAAAGCACTGAAAAGGGAAAATGAACTGAAGGTCAGTGAGTTAGAAGCATTTAATTAATCCATAATAGGATACAGTTCTTAAAAGTGTCAATCATAATTCCCTACATGCCAATTTCTAGATTTCATTGGCTGAGCTTCAGTCAGCGCTATCTGAGCTGAAGGGTCACAGTGAAGGTCAGGCTGCTAATATTGAGTCCCTCACTGCAACTCTAAAGACCAAGGATGAGATTATCAGTGTAAGGATTCCACACAGTGTCAAAGTTGTGTCAGCAAGTGAAGGAGTTTTTCTTCTGATGTTTAACTTTTGACTTTGAGCAGGTTCTCCAGCAGCGCCTCAGTCAGAGAGGCCACACATGGCCTGATCATACCCAGGATCACGTCATTGTCTGTGGAATGGAGAGGTCCCTGCCTGTGCTTCCACAGAGGGAGAGTACCATGATCGGTGGAGACAGCCAGCAAGAAGTAAAGATGACCTGCTTTTTAAATTTTTTTTAGAGCAAAACATTACAATCTTGATGCTTTGTCTTTTAAGATAGTTTCTCTTCTCTCCTCAGGCCTTGCCCAACCTCACAGCTTTGCAACATGAGCACGATGCTCTGAACAGAGCCCTGAGGGCTGAACAGCAGCTCTATTCCAGCCTGGTAAAGACTGTGAAGGAGCAAGACAGGTAGTTATGTGCAACAGCTGCTTTAATGCAAAAAGGAGAAACAAATGCTTTGCGCTAACAGACCTCTTGGATGATTTGCAGTGCCCAGCGTCTCCATGCTCTACAGTTGGAGCTGACAGCAGTGCAGCTTCTCAGGCAGCAGCTAGAAGAGAGCATCAGAACTAATGAGGAGTTAAGGGGTGACTTGGAGAGAGAGATACACAGAGCCAAACTCAGAGAAGGTGCAGTGAAAACACACTTGGTTGTAGATGAGGATGGTGACTGAATGAGAGGGAAAGAAATAAAGGAATTATAAAGGAGTGAATGAGAAAAGAAGTGCTTGTTATCATTTATTGTGGTTAAAATGGTAGAAAATATAACTCATCATTAAAGGGAACCCCTAAACCCCAGTCATCTTTATATAATATGTTTACTCGTCCTGCCAACAACTTCCATGTCTACTTTTTGTTGTGTTCTTCTTCAGCATGCACACCTGGTCCCTCCACTTTTCATCTTTGTCTGCTTTCTGTCTCTTCTGCTCTCATCATCTCCCAGTTATCTGTATGTTTTTGTCTATAACACAGTCGCTCCCCTTTTCACTGTCTCTCAGTAAATGTATTGATTTCACACCTGTCTGCTCTTTGTCCTTCATAAAAAATAAATAAAGACCTGTCTTCTCTGTCTCTCACTTTCAACATGCTGTTTGTTTGTTTTTGTTTTGTCCCTTTGCTTCTTGATTGCATCACTTTAGCACGCTTCTGGTTATTAATCCAACCCATCCAACCATCTGTCACATGAATATCATTTAAAAGCATGGTTGTGCCATTTTCAAATGATTTAATAAAGGATATTAATGTGCAAAGTACCACATTAAAAGAGCAGCTCTCCAGAAATAGAGCCTAATCCAAAAAGTGTGGCATTTATTTTCCTTTGACGTCATGCAGTTAATTCAGCACAGTTTGTCCTTCAGATTTGTTGTGGCATTAATGCACAGCCTTAAAACAGATTAAAAGTGTCACTCTGCACTGAGGTCTAAGCCAAATAACTTGGACCATCCACTTGTCGTGTGCGCTCAGGCGACCACACACGTGCATGCTCCTCCCCACACCGCTGCCTGCAGAGAGCCAGGTGTAAAAATAGGTCAGCTGTAAGTAACAGGGACGCAGCTCACATTAGCACTGACTGGCAAGATAGACGTAGCAGGATGATTGTCACTGATTACATTTGCACACTTCATGCTTTGGTTATATAACCAACCATTATGATTTGTTTGCATAGGCTACATGTTTACACACTTATGAAAAAGCACAATAATAATCATACTTTGTGATTGTGTATATTGTGGGTGTGCATTTTAGCTCCTCTACATATATTTTGCATATCTGACTTGGATTTTTTTAGCAAGCCAAGATCCACTAACTGCACAATGTAAATCCACCATTTTTGTTTTTCATATTTTTTTTTTTACATTTTTCATTTATAAGGATTTTTTTAGTTTATTTGTTTTTTTCAGTATTTTAATTAAAGAACATTAGATTGTAGACATCATGAAAAATATGAAAGTGAAAGGTATAATCCAAAGGTGTGTGTGCTGCGGTGTAAAACCTCAGCTTCGTGGCTGGTCTGTGTTTGTTTTTAAAGTTGTGAAAAAGAGCTGAAGTATACACCCTCTTTATGACATGTTAGACATACGCACATGAAGTCTTAAGTTAATGGTGCCTCATGGGAGCTGCTGTAATGCCCTGTCATGCGTGGCCTTTTGTAACCCTCTGTGTATCGTTTCAGGTATGGACCTGATTGATCCTAAAGAGCTAGAGAGCATAAGACATCAGCTTGAAGATGCCCAGCGTTGGAATGCATCTCTGCAGGCACGCTTAGGAGCAATTCAGAACCGTGGAGGAGGGGTTGGTGGAGCCAACGATGGAGGTAAGACGAGAAAAAGACTCCAGATGTCATATTCCAGTTTATATACAGACAACATTATAAGATTATTTTAACGTTTTTCAGGCGACTCTTTGAGTTTCATTGGAGATCAGACTTCCTACATGAGTATCTGTGTAGGAGAGGGACTGGATGACAGCTTGTCTCATCTGTCTGCTCAGGAGCTTAAACAGAAGGTATTTTACATTTTGTTGCTTTTTGTCTCATTCTTATACAGTGTCACGTTGAAGTTAATTAGTGTGCTTCAGGTGTCACTGTACCAACTGTAAAGCTGGAAATGTGTAAAAATGATTTCGCTCTGTGTTAAGGTGCTTGAGCTGCAAGACCATGTCAGCAGGCTGCAGACCTTAAACAGTGAACGGCAGAGCCAACTTTCACAAATTGAGAAGTCAGAGCGTGACACTGATGACAAAGAAGACAAAGACCGCAAAAAGCAGCTGCAAAGAGACGAGGTTGTACACAAAGTTATGGCTGCAAAGTTGTTGTTTTTTGTTTTTTAGGTCTTCCAAAAGAGTGCACGTCTTGTCATTTATTAGTAATGTTTCTTCCAGAGTATGTCCACATTTAGAAAATACTTGAGAAATCACGAATCATTGTCTAACATCCTTCCTGTAATAGCTCCTTTCTAACCTTAGAACTTATAGCCTAACCTCTGTTCTGTCTAACCTGTTGCTAATTTCTCTTCCCTCTGTGGTACTAAATGTCTGAATTTTTTAACAAGTGTGTTTCTTGTATGTAGTAGAGTAAGTACCCTCTTTCTCTTTCCTTCATCTCTCCTAATCAGTCCCTGTTTTATCTTTATCTCTGTGTCCCATAAAACGGTCTCTCTTCGCCATGCTACATTAGACACATCATGCCATTCTGCTGTTGCTGTGCTGTGCTTTATGGATTCTGTTCCCACTTTAAGTTTTCTTTTACCGAGCCATGTGTGTCATACTCGCCTCCCATCCCATTACTCTAGCAGCTCAAGAAGACGCTTGAGAAGCAGCCTCTGGTTCAAAGTAACAAGACACATCTCTCTGGTCAGGACAAAGAGAGCCAGACATGCAGTAAACTAGGACAGGTATGAAACTGATGGTCATTAAACAACTGAGTGCTTAAGTACTATTTGAAGAGTTTATAAAACCTGCTTTCTAAATAATCGCTCTTTTAGATGTTGTCGGAAAAGCTTTTGGGTGATGTGAGCATGGACAGCGGCCTCAGCCAGAGTAGAGAGCGTGCTCACTCTAGCAGCGACATCTTGGACACTGGGGAGGAATATTCTAGGGAGATGAACACAGATTTAATGGCACTTAAATCCCTATTAGCTGATTGTGGGTCAACATCTGTCTCGCACCTTAGGTAGGTCTTTCTTTCAGAGTCTACTCCTTATTTTCCCCATTACTTGGTAGTTAGAAGTCTGAACTGTAATCTGGTCGAATGTTTCTCATTACAGAGCGGAAATGCTCAGGCTCAGATCAGAAAATGATGAGCTGCGGGGTCTCCTGAAGGAACAGAAATCGTCTGAGTACAAAGAAAAAGAGAGCACCGATGCCTCAGGGAACAGCAGTGAGGGACAGGCTGAGTTGAGGAAGAGTTTGGAAGCACTGGACACAGAAGATGCAAAGGTCACCAAACTGTCAAAGAAGAAGGGAGGGAAGAAGTGGAATGAGATTTCAGACAGGGAGAGTCCCATTACCAATGTCAGCACTGCAGATGACGAGGAGAGTCCAAGAACTAATTGCCAGCCACACAGCAACAGTGAAAAACAGCATTTTTCAAAACATAGGGTAAGTTTTGTACTGCAGAAGAAATAAAAAGACATCACTCTTTCCTGCATGAAGGCGTTTTGGGGTTTTAATGTCTGTTTCTTGTGTTTGTTTAAATTGTAGTCTGGAGGCAGATCTCGCCTTCCTGTGCCTGTGAGGCTGAGGGTGGAGTCTAACAGCAGCAGCAGGAAGCCTGGAAGCTCCGAGCAGCTCAAAACTGATGGACTTCAGCACCTTGATTCAGATGATGTCTACTGGTCTGACCAGCATGTACACACAGACTCTGACACTCACACATCACTCCAGCACAGCACTTCCCCTTCCGCCACCCTTGGATACCCTAATCGTAGCTGTAGTCCAGTGGGATCCGACAAGGGCTCTGAAGCCAGAGCATCACTGGATCACACCCAAGATGATTCTGGACTATATACTCAGCTGGAACTTCTCCACCAGGAGTGCCAGGAGAAAGAAGCACTGATCAACAAGCTGAGTGAGCAGCTTGCTGATTGGGAAGAACTTCATGCACAGCTCCGGGAGAAAGACAGACTGAACTCCCAGTACGTAGAGGCTTTACAGGCAGCAGAATCTACCATCGCTTATCTGACTGCCTGCAGTCTGGACAGCCAGGGTGGATTTGGTTCACACACAGGTTCTGGTTCTGTGGGTTCTGATGCGTCTCTCCATGGTAGATGCGTTGAGCTGCAGAAAGCCTTGCAGCAGAAAGAGGAGTTCAACAACCAGCTCATAGAGCTTCTGAATTTGGCAGAGAAAGTCATCAGCTCTGCAGAAAGCCAAGAAAAGAATCCTGAAATCAGCGATCTTTGTCAAAGGATTGAGGGAGCTTTGCAGCAGCTGCATAGCTCTCCAAAGGAAGAAAGCACCAGAGGGGTGCTTCAAGGTACCGAGGACTCTCTGCGTGAGCTGCAGCGTCATGCAGACTCTTTGCAAGAAGCACTTTGGGAGCAGAATAGGCTCAATGCAGAGCTGCAAGAAAAACTGAGGGCCACAAATGCTACTGCACAACACGGATACACCAGTGACAGAGTAGCAGCAGAGTCACTTAAAGAAAATGAGGAAAAGGAACACCACAGTCCTGATACTAGTTTAAATCAAGAGGCGATTGACGTTCTAAGGAACTGCTTTAGTGCAACAGAGTCCGCTGTTGCCTCTTTAGCAGCACACTGCACAAATTCTGGCTCCGTGACTGCTGGCAGATCCCAGATCAGCTCTGACTTGCAGATAAATTTAGACAAACTTCAGAGAGCCCTCCAAGAGCGGGAGCAACTTGGAGAAACTGCCCCACCAATCTCCGAACCCAGCAACAACCTGTCTACTGCTTCAACTGGAACAAAGGTACTAGAGCTTCATCGCCATCTCTGTCTTCTCTATGAGGTCTTCAGTGATTACTCTCAGAGGATATCTGAGCTCCAGGCTTCCCTGCAAGAAGAGAGGGGTCACAAAATGGAGAGGGAAGCCCACAGGGCAGTGCAGGACGGCAAAGGGTTACCGCCAAGTGTTCAGGTTGAACTGGAAACACTGCACAAAGCACTGAGGGAGAAGAAGAAGGCATGTAAAAGCCTGGAGGCGAAACTGGCCACTGCTCTTACCAGTACATCCTCTCCTGAAATGATAAAGAAAGGTAAGCTGTTGAGCAGCTTTCTTCTACATGTGCTTGTCCACAGTAATTCAAACGATTTTGTGATACTGCAAATCCCAGTTTGGTCAGGAACAACATAAGTAGTGATAGAGACATATGTGAACTCCTTGATTGATTTCTTCCTAACCAAACATATATTGCTTCCGATGCCAGCTCCTGAGCAGGATGACAAAGGCGTGCAGGTGGATTTGCAGGACCTGGGTTACGAAACCAGTGGCAAGAGTGAGAACGATAGGGAAGAGAGCAGTAGCACAGGTAGACAGCCTTCAGACAGACTCTGCATGTCTGTCTGCTGAGTGGATACTAATCTCAAGTGTGGACAGCTTCTCTTAATGTAGAATGTATGCATGAGGAGTGAACAAGGGCACGCTGTCTCTGAAAAATATTTTCTGCCTGGGTCTCCGTAACCACACAGTCTTTTTCTGGTTTTTAACTGTGGAATTTTCTTCACCCTTCCTAAATTTGAATGGGCTGTCTCTATTCATGCATGTTTTCACTTAAGGTTTGGGAATGTCTTTTGAGCACTCATTAACCTTTTACCTTGATTTCTTGTCCTATTCAAATTTGGCTGTATCACAAATGACTTCTTTCCTCACACTGCTCAAACACTGTTTATTTTCTACAACTTGCACTGGACTCCTCCCCATAGTCTAATGTTTTTGTGCTTCCTGTGTTGCCAGATTTAGAGGTTGGGGTAAACCCTAGTTGCAGTGGCTCCAGTCTGCCTTCCCTGTTGAAACACGAACAGGCCAATTTCTCCTCTACTGAAAATCTGGACTCAACCTCCAGCACCCCATACCCTACTTCCCCAGCTCTCAGCTCAGCCAAGGTATTTATCTTATTATTTGCTTATTATCTTGTTCCTCACTCCCAGCACTCCACAGCAAAGTTCACTAGGGAATGATGGGGAATGTCACTACTGTGGTTAGCTCAGATGCAGAGCTGTGTCTGTGAACACAGGAGTCCTCCTGCTGCTCAAACCTTCTGTTTGTTGAGTGACGACCAATCAGAATAGAGGAGGACTGGGTCTTAGGTTTACCAAGGCCTAGTGTAAGATAAATACATTATTATGAACCATGATTCATACAGCAGTCAAGTGAATAACACTGATTATCTCTTCATCATGGCACCTGTTAGAGGATGGAATATATTAGGGAGCAAGTGAATATTTTGGGAAAATGGGCAAGCGTGAGGATTTGAGCGTGTTTGACAAGGACATCCAAGGCTCTTTCATGCACATGGGAAGCAGAGTCTGGTCCCTGTGGTCCAGTCCAACAAACGAGCTACCGTAGCTCAAGTCTCTGACTGCTGTCCATCACCGATTACAACGGACTCGTGAGCCTCAGAACTGGAGCGTGGAGCGATGGAAGAAGATGATGAATCACTTTAAATGATGAATGCACTATGGGAAGAAGACGCAGAGGAGGCAGTGTGATGCTTTGGATAATGTTCTGCTGGGAAAACTTAACTTATTCCATCCATGTGGTTGTTACTTTGATCCATATCACCTACCTAAGCGTTTTTGCAGATCATGTGCACCCTTTCATGGAAGCGGTATTCCCTGATGGCTGTGGCCTCCGTCAGCAGGACAATGCGTCCTCCCAAAATGGTTCAGGAGTGAGTTTGAGGTGTTGACTTGGCCTCCAAATTACCCAGATCTCAATATAGGTGAGCATCTGTGGGATGTGTTGGCCAAAGACCCGATCCATGGAGGCCCCATCTCACAACTCACAGGACCTGAAGGATCTTTTGGTGCGAGACACCACAGCACATGGGTTTAGTGAAGTCCATGCCTTGACGGGTCAGAGATGTTTTGATGGCAAAAAGAGGACCAACACAATATTAGGCAGGTGGTCATAATGTTATAACTGATGGGTGTATAAGGCAACTCAAGCAGATTCTAAAAATAAATACATGTATCAAGAAATGAGAATAAGGTGTGTTTGAGAACATTTACATACATTACAGTCATTTTAAACAGCTTTGTGAGAATCAACAGTGTAACAACAATGATCAGAAGTTACAGCATGTGTTACTGGTTTGATTCCATTTAACATTAGTTTTCACTTTCACTTTCAAAATCTGAACCTTCTTCCATCTATTTTATTTTTAGGTGAGTCTGAAAGGTCTGCAGGTCTATAGTGAGTATGGTGTTTCTGAGGACCCACTGCAGCTTCAGGGACAAGTCAAAGAGCTCAAGGTCCAGCTGGAAAACCAGACAAAACTAATCCTCCAAATGCAGAGCCTTCTGCATAGGAACTCCCTCTCCAGTGACTTGGTCAACAACACCTCAGACCCGTCTGTGATCAAGGATCAAGAGGGTGCACAGAAAGACGACCGTAGTCAAGATGGCAGCCACAGAAGTGGGCAGCTAAGGGGGAAGAAGGCTGGGGAGAACCAGGCAATTAAGGATAAAAGCAGCCGGGTAAATATGGAGCTGGAAGGAGAGAGGAGGCTGAGCAGAAGCATCAGTGAACAACTGCAGCCATCCCGCAGCCGCTCCACATCACCTGCTAGGTTAACCATCTTTGAAGTGTTTTATTAGTACTTCACCTTCTTTACTTTAACCCTCCTCTTGTGTTAGCTTTCTGTTATCATCTCTTATGTTAACGGGTCGGTTTTGACCCGTGAATTAAATCAGCTATAAAATACACTAAAAACAATAAGTGATCATCCAATTTGTTTCTCATCTCTTGGTTATCTTGTTAGACTTCCTTATCCATGAAAATGTTGGTTTTAATACTTTCGGTGTGGGCCTCTGGGTCTTTTTTTTTTCACTATACCCCTCGATTTCAATTTTAAAAAAATAAAATAAAATATCACAGCTGATATTGTGATCCTGCAGTCCAGTGGTCATATCGACGACCACACATTTTCATTGTTTCTTCTCAGGGATGCCACTCGCAGCTTTGACTGTGAAAATCTGTACATTCCAGCCATAGTTGGTTTTTGCATCACAGGCTTCCCAGATTTTTCTGCCGTATTTACCTGGCTTACTGGGTATGTATTGCCGGTAGGGGCATTTTCCTCAAAAAGTGGACAAGACGTTCATCCACTGTCACCTCTGGCCCTGGGATGAACATCAGTGGAAGAAGCTGCACCCATCTCTCCCAGACATCCCTGATGGGAGCAAGCTTGTCAGACCTCGGTCTGATCTCTTTGTTGTCAAATCTGATGACTCTTGAATCAAAATGATATCAAATGTGTGAAGTGACATCGTTGCCCAGAAAATATCTCTGCCTGTTGATGCGTCCCATAGACTATCAGTGGCCTCATTGCAGCATCTGTACACTCCAGCAAGAAGAACACCAATGAAAGCATCCAGGTATTCCTCATCATGTCGCTATGGACTTTTTTTTCTCCTTCAAGGTTCATCATAGTAATGATGATTCTTTTTAGTGACAATGGCATAAATAGCTCAAAACATCTCTTGATGTCACTGACTTTGGTCAGAGCAAACCTTGTGATTCCAGGGGTCATTTTGATGACATTTGCAGCAGCTGCCCTGCTATGTAGATCATGAGGTACTGAGCTCCAAAATATATTACCATTTTTGGACTTGAATCTTTCAGCAGGAGTAGCTTCAGCACCAGCGACCTCCACCTCTGATCAGATGTGTCTGTGTCTTCTGGATGATAGTCCACATTGTCTTCCTCCTAGAAACCTGCCCATCTGAATCGCTGCTCTGTGTACTCTCCTTCATTTTCACCAAAAATATGATGCAGAACTTGGCTCACTGTGAATCTTCTCATTTTTGTATGCTGCAAATTGTAAATGTGCACTCTGGAAGTCAAATGGCCACTCAAACTAGAAAAATTTGCATTTCCTGCGAAAATGCAGTGTGGATGCTTAAAGCTTCAGCTTTAAGCATCCTAGCTGAAACTAGCTGAAAAAGCTGAAAAGTTGCAGAAATTGTAAAAACTTTGCAGAAGCAAAAGAAGTTTGCTAAAATGGAATAACTTAGCAGAACTGCAATATCTTAGAGGAAACATAATACTTGGCAGAAATACAATAGCATAGCAGAATTTATCAGAAATATTGTAACTTACCAGAAACATGATAACTTCTCAAAAATACAAGAATTTAGGAGAAATAGTATAAGATAACAGAAAGAATATATTTAGCCAAAAATACTTAAACATTACAGAAACACTATGATTTAGAAAAATAGTACAACAGAGCAGAAATATTGTGATTTACCAGAGACACTGTGATGAACTATGAATATTGTAATTTTAAATTAGGACTATGTTTTAGCACAAATATTATAATTTGGCAGAAATACTATCATTTGGCAGAAATACTATATTAAGTACAAATCCTATAAAAAGCAGAAATGGTATGATTAAGCATAAATACTACATTTAGTAGAAATACTTTGTTTTAGCACAAATCCTATAAAAAGCAGAAATACTGTACTATGATTTAGTAGAAAAACTATAATTAATCAGAAATACTAAATTTAGCAGAAATACTATATTAAGCACAAATCCTATAAAAAGCAGAAATAGTATGATTAAGCATAAATACTACATTTAGCAGAAATACTATATTAAGCACAAGTCTTATAAAAAGCAGAAATACTATATTAAGCACAAATCCTATAAAAGCAGAAATAGTATATTAAGCACAAATCTTATAAAATAGCAGAAATAGTATGATTTAGCACAATAGTAATAAGTTAAACAGAAAAATTGGAAAAGCAAAATGGACAGCTGAAAAAATGCTGAACATGCTGAGGGTCCCTCAAATATACTTGTTAAATGACAAAAATCTGCAAAAAAATCTATAACAGCCACACAATTACAAATATGTACACATGAGGAAACACACATGCACAGAGAGACACACACACAAGATCCAATTCAGTCAACCAGTCTAAATATATTGAATTTGAATCTTACAATGAGATCATCCCATAAAAAGGCTTCCTCTCTCTCTCTCTCTGTCCCCTCTCTCTCTCTCTCTCTGTCCTCTCTCTCTCTCTCTCTCTCTGTCACACACACACACACACGCACACACAAACACAAACACACAGAGGGAGAGAGCTGCTGAATTTGAATCCACCAATCAGAGTGGCTGTGTACTTTTTCCCGCCAAAACAGGTGCTTCTGTTTACACACGCAGCACAGAGAGACACAGGATTATTGCAGTCTATTTCTCATAGTGAGGACTCCCCTCAAACAAATGACCATAATTTCCTAACTGTAGGGGCTAGAGCGGTCATTCTTACACCGTTTTGTTCAGAAGTGATTGGGGAATCTTCAAGTGTTGACAATTTATCATTAAAATATGAATTTTTAGAGATATATGACATGGATGACTTATTGACTTAGAAGCCACGAATTCCCCAATATGCAAATTTGAATGCCTCAGGACACATATATGATTGGCTGGCTGGGAAGCCGTGCAGGCCCTGATTTGTGGATTTGAATTCCTCAGCCCTGATATGATTGGCTGGCTTAGAAGCCATGAAGGCCCCAATATGCAAATTTGAATGCCTCAGGACACATATATGATTGGCTGGGAAGCCGTGCAGGCCCTGATTTGAAAATTTGAATTTCTCAGTCCTCACAGAGGATTGGCTGCCTGGGGACCTGGCAGAAATATGTAGAAATAGTATGATTAAGCATAAATACTACATTTAGTAGAAATACTATGTTTTAGCACAAATACTATAAAAAGCAGAAATACTATAATTTAGCAGAAATACTATATTAAGCACAAATCCTATAAAAAGCAGAAATACTATATTAGGTACAAATCCTATAAAAAGCAGAAATACTATATTAGGCACAAATCCTATAAAAAGCAGAAATACTATATTAGGCACAAATAGTATAAAAAGCAGAAATACTATAATTTAGCAGAAATACTATGTTTTGGCAGAAATACTATATTTACCTCAAATCTTATAAAATAGCAGAAATAAATTTGTGCCTAATATAGTATTTCTGCTTTTTATAGGATTTTTGCTCAAACATAGTATTTCTACTAAATGTAGTGTTTATGCTTAATCATACTATTTCTGCTTTTTATAGGATTTGTGCTTAATATAGTATTTCTGCTAAATTATAGTGTTTCTGCTTTTTATAGTATTTGTGCTAAAACATAGTATTTCTACTAAATGTAGTGTTTATGCTTAATCATACTATTTCTGCTTTTTATAGGATTTGTGCTTAATATAGTATTTCTGCTAAATTATAGTATTTCTGCTTTTTATAGTATTTGTGCTAAAACATAGTATTTCTACTAAATGTAGTATTTATGCTTAATCATAGTATTTCTATATATTTCTGCCAGGTCCCCAGGCAGCCAATCCTCTGTGAGGACTGAGACATTCAAATTTTCAAATCAGGGCCTGCACGGCTTCCCAGCCAATCATATATGTGTCCTGAGGCATTCAAATTTGCATATTGGGGCCTTCATGGCTTCTAAGCCAGCCAATCATATCTGAGGGCTGAGGAATTCAAATCCACAAATCAGGGCCTGCACGGCTTCCCAGCCAGCCAATCATATATGTGGTCTGAGGCATTCAAATTTGCATATTGGGGAATTCGTGGCTTCTAAGTCAACAAGTCATCCATGTCATATATCTCTAAAAATTCATATTTTAATGATAAATTGTCAACACTTGAAGATTCCCCCATCTCTTCTGAACAAAACGGTGTAAGAATGACCGCTCTAGCCCCTACGGTTAGGAAATTATGGTCATTTGTTTGAGGGGAGTCGTCATTATGAGAAATAGACTGCAATCCGGTTGTTCAGTGATGACGCGACGAATCCTACTTCCGGGTCTAAAGTAGTCTGCGTTTAATATGGCATTTGTTTTGTTAACATGTTTAATGTTATGTATTTTCTTCTATTTGATCTCAAAAAGCTCCTAAAACAGTCAGCGATCACTGTTGACCTCCCTCGGCTTTTATTACCGCTAATCATTTATTTAAGCTCAGTTTTTAAAACCTTAGGATGTAACTACAGCCCAGCCCATGCAGCAGTATATGAATGACGAACCTCGTATTGTGGATGGATTATCTCAGTTGTTCTCCTGGCTGAAGTTTTGTCCGTTTACAGCATCCTGCCATGCAATTACATTTGTTCCTGACCACCGAGAACACTCACGGTAACTTTTATCAAGTGGAAAAAAAGTTAGCTTGTTTATATTATGCTAACATAGCTGTGTCGCTAGCGGTCACGTAGCACATCATTATATACCAGCTAGCCCAACTTCAGTAACCCTACAAACGTCACTGCTGTTTAGCTTTCTGTCTTCATTTATGTTGGAAGTGATAACAGAGCTGTACGTTTTAATTTGTTTCCAAAACCCCGCAGTCAGGACATGCTATATTGTATTTAGATAGAAGCTAGCGAGCTAACTCCCTGCTAACTTCTAACTCCGTTAAATGTCATAAATTCTGTTTTCATGGATGCCTGGATGTTAAACTCAATTGTTACACCTGGTAGAGCAGAACGCTGATCATTTTATTAAAGATGAAAGACTTTAGACAGTTTTTCAACTCACAGTCTCTCTGTGCTGCGTGTGTAAATAGATGCACCTGTTTTGGCGGGAAAAAGTGCACAGGCTCTCTGATTGGTGGATTCAAATTCAGCAGTGTGTGTGTGTGTGTGTGTGTGTGTGACAGAGAGAGAGAGAGAGAGAGAGAGAGAGAGAGAGAGGGCCTTTTAATGGGATGATCTCATTATAAGATTCAAATTCAATATATTTAGACTGGTTGACTGAATTGGATCTTGTGTGTGTGTCTCTCTGTGCATGTGTGTTTCCTTATGTGTACATATTTGTGATTGTGTGGCTGTTATATATTTTTTTGCTGATTTTTTTTCATTTAACAAATATATTTGAGGGACCCTCAGCATGTTCAGCATTTCTTCAGCTGTCCATTTTGCTTTTCCAATCTTTCTGTTTAACTTATTACTATTGTGCTAAATCATACTATTTCTGCTATTTTATAAGATTTGTGCTTAATATACTATTTCTGCTTTTAATAGGATTTGTGCTTAATATACTATTTCTGCTTTTTATAGGATTTGTGCTTAATATAGTATTTCTGCTAAATGTAGTATTTATGCTTAATCATACTATTTCTATATATTTCTGCCAGGCAGCCAATCCTCTGTGCGGACTCAGACACATATCACATATCAGGGCCTGCACGGCTTCCCAGCCAGCCAATCATGTCTGAGGTCTTCCGTTTCCTCTCTCGTCATATCTCAGCGACGGTTGTACAAAGAGCAATGAAAATCGCAGTCAAAGTACACCAAAGTCCGCTGATTCACCCAGTACAAGAATTATGCCTCTAGTCCACCTAGTTTTTGAGTTACACAACGTTTTGTAACTCCAAAAAACGGCGTTTTTCGCCTCTCACCGCGATCTAATTCTGACGGCTCATCACCCTGTTTTTCCAAGAAGCTCCTCTCTTTCCCAGTGGCGCAGTTGGTAATGACATGGGTCTGCAAGCCAAAGATCGTGGGTTCGATTCCACCTTGGTCAACATGTTTTTTTCCCTACAAATTAATACACTGTCACAGACCAGTAATTCATATTCATCATTTATTAAAATTCTGCAAACTTTTATGATTTTATCAGCTTTTCTAATATGGACCTCACATTCTTGTTAACACTCCATGGCACAAATACGCTTCCCTTTAGGCTCTGTGTATGTGTGTGTGTGTATCAATATTTCTCCCATTTTAAAGTATTACTCCTCCATAATTGTATTTCTGTTAAATCAAAGTACTTTTACTACATCTTAGTACTTCTGCTCAATCATAGTATTTGTTCTAAATCATTTTTATTATGCCATATTGTAGTATTTCTGCTCAATCATACTATTTCTACTATATTATATTTTTCTTTCTAAATATAGCATTTCTGCTATATAATTGTATTTCTGCTATGTTATAATATTTGTGCTAAACCAGAGTATTTGTGCTGTATCATAGTATTTCTGCCAAATTATAATATTTGTGCTAAAACATAGTCTTAATTTAAAATTACAATATTCATAGTTCATCACAGTGTCTCTGGTAAATCACAGTATTTCTGCTATGTTGTACTATTTTTCTAAATCATAGTGTTTCTGTAATGCTTAAGTATTTTTGTCTAAATATATTCTTTCTGTTATCTTATACTATTTCTCCTAAATTCTTGTATTTTTGAGAAGTTATGTTTCTGGTAAGTTACAATATTTCTGCTAAGTTCTGCTATGCTATTGTATTTCTGCCAAGTATTATGTTTCCTCTAAGATATTGCAGTTCTGCTAAGTTATTCCATTTTAGCAAAGTTCCTTTGCTTCTGCAAAGTTTTTACAATTTCTGCAACTTTTCAGCTTTTTCAGCTACTTTTTGCATACAGCTTCAGCTTTAAAGCATCCACACTGCATTTTCGCAGGAAATGCAAATTTTTCTAGTTTTGTTTTGTTTTTGTGCAGGTATACTGCAAAAAACACGCAAAACAAGTATCCCCTAAAGCTCATATGATTAGGAGAGGAGCTTGCTGTCAATGTTTTAGCTGACAGTGCACTTATGATTTCAGTTTTGGCTTTAATTATTGCTTTATACTCATAATATTATACCTGGGTCGAAACCAACCCTAACAACACAAAGGTCATAATTTCAACTAGGGCATTTTATAATTTAGTGAAAATATTTTTTTGGTTTTATTTTGTAGAAATAGAGGTTCCTGACAAAGTCAAAAAGCCTTGATACAATAAACAAATGTTTGTGATTTTTTTTTTTTTTCTATGCATTTGAAATTTAAAATGGGTTGGTGCCAACCCTAACACAAGAGGAAGGTGGAAAATCTGCATGCTCTTTTTCTTTCCTTCTTTTTTTAAATTGTCCCTAATTTGGTCTTCTCCACAGCCTGGACTCCCTTGTGAAGTCACAGGCCCGAGAGCTCTCGCAGCTGAGGCAGCAGATCAAGGAGAGCCGCAGGCTGGGAGCCCTGCACCGGCGGCAGCTGGAAGAGCTGAACCAGGCCTTCAAAGAGCTGCTGCAGGCTGAAAAGGTCGACTGCTACATGGGAGAGGTGGTTAAAGAGCAGCTGGACAAGAGCCTGAGCATTCTGGACAGGCTGGAGGGACGGCTGGACAAAGGTAGCTGCTGCCGTCATCGTAATTGTAGTAGTTGCTTTGCCTAAATTATTATATAGATCCATGATGAGGTGTTGTTTGTGTAGTATCTGCCATCACTGCAGACGTGTATTTGTGGTTATGCGACAGTATTTACTTAGTGTGCTTGGAGGATGTGTGTTAGTGCCGTGGTAGTATAATGATTGAAGGAGACAAGTGCAGTTACAGCAAAGCCATTTTAGAGCATGGAGGGCATTATTTTAATGAAAGAAATTACTTGATATGGTGATCAATTAACTTACTGATGATTTCCTTCATTATCAAAGAGTAGTTTTAAAGGCAGTTGTTAAAATGATGGGCGGGTACAAACTTGACTTGACAGTCTAACAAGGGGAAAACAGACGCCACCAGAAGAGAAACAAAGACAGAAGAGCAGCCACTCGTAACTGATTTGTACAGACACGTCCATGACAGCGTCTTTTTCTGTCTTGTAGGAGAGACTCATCTGGATAATGAGGATGTGCCAGCTCTTGAATTGTCTCGCAGGTACAAATACATTATTTCTTTATTTTTAGTGTATGCAACAGTGGGTGAAACATTTATCACATATATATGTTATATGATGAGAAATTGGCTCCTTTTTTTTTTAAAAAAAGCTGGTGTTTACTTTTCCATCCTTCTAGTGACCTAGACTGTAGTCCCTTTGTTAAGGTCACATGTGCGACTGTATTTTTGGGTCATTAGCTGAGCTCTTTGAGATGTTTGTCATATTATGACCCTTTTAAAACTGCCCCCAGCTATTTGCATTATGACCCTGGGCTGTGCACGTGAATAACTGTCCTGCTGTTGACCTATTTTGTTTCTGTGTCAGCCAGAAGTAAATTAAGGCTCTGCTGCCCATCACTGGGTCAATATTGTCACTCTGTATTCCCCATGCTTTCAGTTTCACATCATAGCCATCTTAAACTTTGACCTTTTTACCTTTTTATTGGCAGCAAATGCTCTAAGTGAGCAGTTAATACAACAATAATAACTGTAGACTTGCAAAATTGCAATTTGTTTGTTTTGGACACAGTACAATAATTGTATCCTTCCATCCTTGATATGAATAGGTAATGCATTTTTTAACCACACACTTGTATCAAATTATAAATTAAGGTTGCTCAGAGCCACGCGCATTAATCCATATTACTACTGATGTGGCAGTTTTGGGGAGCTTCAGCAGACATCACAATCACTGCTGTCCTATGAGGAGTGCATGAGAGGTCCTCCTGAAAGCTTGTGTAGAATCCAGCAGGAGATAGATTATCTGCGTCTGGAGCTAGAGGGTGAGAGAGAGCTGCTGCAGCAGCACGTCGCCCTGCTCGTCCAGCAAAACCTCACCCTGGCTGATTGCACCAGGGAGCAGCTGGACCTGTGAGTGGGTTTGATCCAGACAGCATGACGTTTGCCGTGAGCTCCTGTGTCAGATTTCCCAGCTGTGTGTTGTTTGAAGCCCGCTGGTTTTAGGAACATAGTTTTCTTTACTTTTTGGGGTTGCTGTTCCTTTTTCTCTCCCAGCAGTCATACCGAGGCCTCCCGACTGGTGTTAACACGCATCATTCCTTCTCCTTCCAGGTTGGCTAAAGAGCTGCAGGAGAAGAACCGTCTCATCCAGAGCCTGCAGAGCCAGATTAGACGCCAGAGTCTCAGCAGCCACCACAGCTCTCACTCTGATCTGTCCCACTCAGACAGGACTTCTTCCTCCTGCCACAGCAGCCCAACCACACAAGGTGGCAATCGAACCCACAGTAAGTATTTCTGGATCCAATGCTTTAAGTCTCAGAAGCCTTTTGTCAGAGTTTTACCCCTGATACTGCTGGAGATTTTGTGCCAGACTAGGATTAATTCAGTTTGCTTCATTAAAAATGCATATTTTCTTCCCTTCTTGCCCGTTGCACAGTCATTGAGATCAAACGGCTCCTCTTCTACGTGCGCAGGCAGTCTAGTGCCTGCCTGTAATACCACTTATTGTCCACTCAGATCCTTTCTGTTGCAGTGAGGCGTTCTGCAGGACAAAGCTTGCCAGCCAATGCCAGAGGAGGTGTCCAGTTTCAATCCACTGCCACTTAAAGTTGCATTATTCAGTGGCACATATCTGTTTCAATCTTCTGATATTTTGTGACCAAGAGGCTATTGCAGAGACAAGTGAAGTCCTTTAGAAGCACCTGGAGACAAAGAATAATAATAATAATATGCAATTTGGATTTGAAGTGTTGGATTACACATGTGTTGTTGTCTTCCTGTGCACGTTCAGGTCAACAATTACACCCTGATTGGACGGGTGCAACTGTGTCACATATAGGACGAGCTCAGGACGAAGGTGTGTCCGGTCACAGAGATGCTGGCGGCAGACTGCAGGGCCTGCATAGGGAGAACGGGCGGCTGCAGGAGCAGCTGAGGAGCAGCGAGGAGCTTAACGCCACCCTACGCAGCGAACTGGACCTGCATCGCTCTATCATGGCCCAGACCACCTCCCATCATCAGGAGCAGGAACAAGGGCACGACCAGGAGGGCTCAGGGCCTCAAACAAAGGCACAGAAACAAGATGGAGACACAAGTGCACAAAGGAATGCTGGAGGACAGCCTCATACGATGAATTCAGGTAAATATAAAGCAATAGTAGGCTGATTAGCATGTCAGTTAATGACTACATTATATAGAGAAATGTTGTTAATTATATGAGCTGTGTGAGTTTGTTGCTAATGTAAAGAAGTAAAAAAACGACATGGAATTTCCCTTTAAATGTGCTTTATCCACGTGTGTCTGTTAGACCTGCTGGCAGAGCATCTACAGGAGATCAGAGCTTTGCGACAACGTCTGGAGGAAAGTATTCGCACCAACGACCGTCTCAGGGAGCAGCTGGAGAGGAGACTAGCTGAAGTGGAAAAAGACCCAGGTACACACCAAAAAACTGTCTTTGACTATTTAGGGTCTTTTGTTTCCACATGTCCAACATGTGTATGTGCCATGTCCAGCAGCCACCAACATCTTCATCCACGGCAACGAGGAGCAGGGTCAGCTGACTCAGGAGGTGCGATTCCTCTGGGGACAAAACCAAACTCTGAAGGAACAGCTCAGCATGGCATCCAGAGGTATCGCTCTTCTTATGTTTAGTTAAAAATCACATGATTTTCAGTAAGACAAAAAGAAGAGGAGAGAAACGGATGCTAATTTCTTTTGTTGTCCTTGTTGATGCTGATCTATAATACCCTAAATATTTTTCCATTATCTCCGGGAATTACATACTTAACAAGGTTTACAACCTTTATTTCCTCCAGACAAGCAGAAGGAGAATGAGAAGCTCCGGGAGACCCTGGCCAGGCGGACGGCCAAACTGGAGCAGAGCAGGAGGGAGTGTGAAGCTCTGAGGCAGGAAAACAGCCAACTGCAGGAGCGACTGGAGCACAGCAGCCGGGAAAACTCCCAGCTGCAGGATTCACTGCACCGCAGCAGGGAGGAGCTGCACAGGTACACACACACACACACACACAACATCAGTCCTGATGGGGAGCACACATTTCTACACCACACGCTTAATGTCATTAAAGCACTCATTTGTGTAACCTGACATTCCACATAGCTACTAATGGCCATTCTAAAAAGTCATTACTGTTGCCATTATTCCTTACTGTTAGTATGTCTCTGAAACCTGAGCTCATCACTTGAAGGCTCATCCGTGAACACACACATGCACACGATGCTAACAGTGATGGTATGTGACCTCTTGCCACGGGTCCTGCTGACATGAGGCTGACACTCGAAACCAGGAGTGTAGATTACTGTCAGATCTCCTCTCCCTTTCATTCACCTGAGTGTGTCACTTTGTCTAATGTATACACGTTAGGCTTGTTGTAGGTAGTGTTTCTGTTTTATATGTGTGTGCCTATATATAATATGTATGTATGTATGTATGTATGTATGTATAAATATACATACATACATACATACATACAATATAAATTTTTTTAATATATCGAATTTTAAAGGCAAGGCATCACTTTAGGCTGAATTTCTTAATAAGTGTTGGCTGCGCTTTCAATCACTGTCTCCAGGTTGCAGTGCGAGGTGAAGCTCCAGAGGCAGCAGCTGTCCGACTCCCAACATCTCCTCCAGACGCTGCGGGTGGAGCTGCAAGTTTACGAAAAAATAAAGAGCGAGTCTAACAAATACAACGGTACCGCACGATTTCCGTTTTTGTTTTTCAGTAGCTGGAGTTCTTCTGAAATGTTTGTGCTGTAGTCAGATTTTCCAGCAGCTTGCACGAGTATTGGAGGAAGAAACTTTTACTTTTTGTTGTATAGAAAAAATTTTGGATCATGTTTGGATTGGTGTACTGACAAGATGATAGATTGTAATGAGAATGTCTAATGATATTGGCTAATAACTGGTGTATTGGTTTTTTTTGGATGAAACATGGCCACATGGGGGCAGTAAAGAGGGAGACAAGGAGATCATCTTCAAGAGGAAACCCTCCAAACTTGTATTCAGTTTTGTTTTTAGCATTTATGGGTGTATTTGGAGAATCTTTTGATTGCACTTTGTCCACCAGATTTGACACTGTATAAACTAAGTAATGGTGACACCATCAAATTTCAATTAACTTCAAATCCTGTTTGGAATTCCTGCACTACAGTTTCTCAACCCTTATCAGCCAACATTCACAATAATTTATATGCGAAATGTTCCTGTTGGCTGACATGATCAAATTTAAGGCCTTTACACACCAGACGTGTAATTTTGCAGCATTTATTTTTTCAGATTCAGTTTGATTTGGATTTTTTTATTTTTTATTCTTTTGTTCTTATTTCTCACATGCGAATAAAAATATCTGACCACAAGTTTGTAGAAATGTACCTGTGGGGTTGCAGCAGTTCTCAGCCTCAGCGTCACTAACAGGAGGATATTTCTTTCTCATTCGGCGTGCAGAATCCAGCGAGGTGGCCCAGGAGCCATCCACTCACGCTTCCTCCGGCTCAGTGGACCTGGCCGAGCTGCTGTCAGAGATCAGACACTTGAGGCTTCAGCTGGAGAGGAGCATCCAGACCAACACGGCTCTGCGGCAGAGACTGGAGGAGCAGCTGCTCAGAGGACCCGGCCGCTCTGAAACCATCAACATTAACTATCTGCTGTCCTCTCCAGGTAAACGGAAAGCACGTTCCTGCATGCCGATGAGCTTTGATGGATTCAGAAGGCCACGTAAGCACTGCCAGGTCATGGCAGGTCAGGTGTTTCATTTGCTTATTTATTTTTTATCACTCTTAGATGAAGGGGGCAGGTCGCCGGGCCGAGAAGACACTGTCCATCACTCGTTCCAGACTCACAGAGAACACACCAGCATCCACCACGGTAAGAAAAGCTCTTCAAAGCTGGTCCTGAAGCCAAATCACATATTTCTATGAAAGCAAATACAGACTGGTGACATTTGAAGTCTCCTGGATCTGCTATGTTGGATCTTTTCAGATGTGAGATATCAATCTCTCTCAGAGGTGGATGGTGGCTCGGTCAGCAGCAGCTCTGGGGACAGCATTTCCGGTGCTCCCTCTCGGCTGGTGCCGGGTCACCGGATGTGGGCGAGCCGCAATGGGCGCCACATTTTGGGCTTGATTGAAGACTACAACGCGCTCCGCAAGCAGATCTCAGACGGCCGGAAGCTGTCACGCAGTATGGACATGCAACTGCAGGAGTGCCTGCACACGCTTCAACAGCAGGGCTGTGACAACAAGGTGGGGAGCTCATCGTGAGGTTTAAATAGGCTGAACTTTACAGAAAGTAGAAACGTGATGTTAGCCTGTCCACATCTTTGTAGGTGATTGAACAGCAGCATCTGAAGAGTTTATCCTGCAGCATTAACACCATGCACCAGGTGCTGGAGGAGGCTGGCCGACTGCTCAAACTGGTGTGGAGAGTATCTTTGCCAGTTGGGAACATAGCAAGAGACAGCTGCAACAACCAGCAGGTAAACACACGCACAGCACACATTGTGTATCCGGGCTCTCCAGTTAAACATCTGCAGACCAAATCCTTTCTTTCCTGCTATCCTCCAAATCAGGATGAGCTGCTGAGAAATGAGATAGCCCGACTGAAGAGCCGGCTGTCTCAGCAGGAGAGGATGCTGAGCGGAGCCATCAAGCGTCTCCGCACCACCAACCAGCTCAAAGAGGGAATGGAGAGAGTCATCATCGATCAGTGTAAGTTCATCTGCTTTTACTTTTAAGCTGCACAGAAGATGAAATGTGTGGTTGAAGCAGTTTTGCAGCTATTTGAGTTTATTGATGGAAGTATTTGTCAAGTCAGTCTCTCTGCTCCTGTTTTGTAGTTTTTCTTTGTGTGATATTATTTTATAAAGTAAATGTCAGGTCTTGATACCGGTATAATTATACAAGACTGTGGAAATGAATTGTTTTATTTTTGTCCTTTGTAGTGTCTCTGACCCATGGAGTGTTGAAGAAAGCCAGGGGGAATTTAGAGGTACGCCTACAGTAAGAAGTGTATGACCCAGTTATAATATGTCAGACTAATGCTGTTACCCACAGTGGTATTTTCTCCATTAGTGAATTACTCCTCTTTTCCCCCTTTTTTCCTCTCTGTGAAATATCGGTAGACAAATTACTGTACCCAGTTTGGCCTGAAAGGCCTGTCTGGAGGACCAGACGAAGGTTAGTGTGGATGCGTTGCTCTGGTTGTTTCTCCTGCATGAAGCAAATACCAGAATTTAAACGTGTAATGAGACACAGTTGTTGGGAGGATCATACCTACAACTGTGTCCTCCTAACACTGTATGGACTGTGTTAGGCTTTTTGATTTACGCTCACAGGGGTGTGTTTTGCGTGACCTTACAGCAAACATACTTTTAACTTTGCAACTATTCATTTAACAAGATGACAGATGCATGTGTCTGGAGATAAGATTGGAAAACTTACTTGAAATATTTTTTGTGCCTTAAGCATTGTTTTTGTTTATCCTGCATGTTTGTGGCCAAAGGTGTAAAGTGACCATTAAAGCCAGTCGTTTTTTTTTGTTTGTTTTTTTTACTGTACAACCTCAACTTCTCTTTTCAGGAAGTCCCAGTCAATGGCCAGTAGTAGACACTACAGACCCTCAGCCTGAGCAGACGAATGCCCCAGTCTCCAGGCAGACTTCAGAGAGGCACTCTGAATCCTCGGAGGATCCCAACAGCGACAACTCTTTGCAATGCAGCTACTAAAGGTGCCAGCAAAGCACTGACGCAGCAGCTTCCCAGTCTGCATCCTGCCTTTCCGTCCTGCTGTAAAACTGTCACCTTAACCTTAGAAAGCTAAGCTTTTCCTACCTTATTGCACATGCCCCGCCTTTACTTTGATTTCTATAAAAAGGTACTGAAGTTGTAAAAGTTCTTTAAATGCAAGAGTATGCCTCTGTAAATAATCTGTGCTATTCAGATATTTTCCTTTTATTCGTTTTATATGACGCATATGACAACATGACTGTATTTTATTACTGACTTCCAGTTTTTACTTGTTGTCGTCACCTGTCAGTTTATGCACAGGATTGTTTAGATCAACTGTGTTCTAGCAAGTATGTGCAAATGCAGTAAAATAAACTGAATGCTGAAGCCTTCGAGTCTGCAGCAGTTTGATTTTACAAAGTGGATTCAAAAAGAAATTCTAATCAGAATTTGTGGTACAAAAGTTCCTTTATTAGAATATGTTTGTTTAAGTAGAAATCACAGCGACCACATCAAAACCCGTACACTGAGAAGCACAAAAAAAGAAAATGGCAAAGATCACGACTTCAAAGACATGAGAATTAGAAAAGTGTTGAACCGCTTTACAGGATAGGTTTTTCTATTACACTTAGACTAAAAAGATCAAGTGATAAAAGGTCGATTTTTTCTTTTTAAGTAGCACTTGAAATGTGTCTGGGCCTTCCAGGTTGTCAAAGTGACCTATAAAACTAGGTCACAACGTGGGACCACAGTCGTTGGTGTTTTATTGTTTAGTCATAGCACCAAGATCCCAAAGACTCACTCTTCATAATGATGAAGACATCAGGCAGCTTCTTGTGTTGACTTTTTAAATGTTTTCGTTGTGGTCATGTGATAGATTTGGCAAAATTCGGCTCCGAGTTTTAGACAACGTCCTCTGTGCAGCTAGAACAAGTAAGAACTAATGGCTGCTGCAGAACGACTATTTGTTCAGGGGGAAGACAAAAAAAAAAAAACTGCCTATGTTATGGATATCCACACCTATCTCTGCACAAGTCTGACGAAAGCCTGAACAAGCTGGATGAATGGCTCCTGACCCTCATGACTTGCCTTGGAGCCCGGCGTAGGTGGTTTGGACTGGGTAGAGGGGAGGATGGCACTGGCAGGAGAGGATGGCGAGCCCCTCCGGAAATGGCGGAAGAGGCTTGAGAGAAGAGTACTCTGAAAGAGAAACGCAATCAAATGCATCATGCTAAGACATGGAGTAAGCATCCTTTATAATACAAGGCTGCTGCTATTTTATGTCTGACAGATGAGATGAGGCATCCTGTTTTAATACTGTAGAAGGTGCAGTTTAATGCCAGCTTCATGATTACACACTAGCAATAACTGGATAGAATTCATACATTTTTCACAGATACACAGAAAAACACACTTGTTGTTGGTTCTTGTGTTTATAGCAAAAAAACCCAAAACGTTTGAACAGCTTTGGGTTGGAACAGATGTGCCGTCTCACCAGTTCTGAGCTGAGCTCTTGCTTGAGCCTCTGTTTGTCTCGAGGGAGGATGGAAGGATCTTTGAGGCACCGAACAGCCTGAGAGATCAACACGTAGAAACAGTTCTCCATGGTGAACATGAGGAGTGACCTGGAGGGGAGACACCAGTTAATCATTTCAATATTTGTATTTGACAGTAAAACAAACAGTATCTTGGAAAAGATGCAATTGGCTTATCGTAGCAACCTGTAAGGAGAAACAGTTGCTGGTCATCTTATGCAACATGAGAGATGTGTCTGGAAAGGTGTCAAACAAGGCCTGGAGGCCAAACACTTGGCCCACTGAGCAGCTTTGGAAAATGTGAAGAAGAAATAACTCGCATACACATATTTCAGTTTAACCCCAAAGCGTCGTCCTGACAGATGTCTTTTATTTACTTCAGCAGCTTTTTTTTTTTTTTTTTTTTTAAATCATGTAGAAAGACTGAGATGTGCTGTTAAAAATCACATTTCATTTTCCTATATAAAGGTCAGAAATTAAATGTGCATCTAAAGATCTTTACACTGACAGTGGGGGAAGTTTCGTTGGTCTGGCCTAATTAAGATGCTAAACTCCACATTACTTCTTAGTTGCCACGTACCAGAGTGTCTCATTTTCTCATTAACTCAAAGCAAAACCCCCAGTTTCATTTTCCCACAGTCGGTTTCCTTGAAAGTGTTTCATATCTAGTGTTACACGCCATATCACTCACTTCAGCGCTTGGATCTCCTCTGATGAAGCTAGTGATGCTATACTCAGGGAAACCGGTTCCTTCTTCTTCTCCATCTATTAACAAACAGCAGAAAATGCGAATGCAATAAGCTGTAAAGACCTTTGATTATAATAATAAAGAATATAAACACCTACCTCGCTCAACATGCTCAGGCTGACATTGATGGTGGCCAGCAGGGTCCCAAATGAAGGAGCAACGTCAGGGTCAAAAGCCGGAGTTGTGAAGCTAAGCACGAAGAGCGTGCTGTACTCGGCCAGGTCCATAGACTGATACAAACACAGAGACAGTCAGCATCTCATCACCTTTTTTTTTTTTCTTTAAAAAAAAAAAAAAACGCCTGTTTTTAAAGATCTGCAGAAATGTCACCATGCAGCAGGAACAAACAGACCTGGTCCAGGAGTATCTGGCAGCAGTCTGGGGTGAAGTGCTGCAGAGTTGCCAGGGTTTTGCTGAGGATCTTTAGAAGACTGCACTGCACAGCTAGCAGTGCCTTCTGCTCCGCCTCCTCCCTTTCCCCTCCACCTGCTGCTTCTTTAGTTGACGTTTGAGTGGGCCGCTGTGTCCTGGGTAAGGGACCAGGGGGCAAAGCCTCACCGTTTTTAGCCTAAGAAAGAACAACAGAAAACAATCAGCCATTTATCTGAATGTATAAACAACAATCTACAAATTTATATTAAAGAAGAAAAAAAAGACTAAGTTTCTGACCTGGAGGTAGTGATGAAGCATCTTTTTGCTGTGGAGCAGATGGGTGCAGGTCTGGCACAGATAACAAAGGTTTACCTGAAGAGACAGATGGAAACAGAAACACTAAATTACCAAAAGCTGAACAACAATTGGAGCTGTGCTCTCCTCATTGATGTGGTGATTTCCTTTTGACTTGCCTGAACATCTCTGAGCAGTTTGGGCAGGTGAAACTGCCACTCCTTACAGAAGCTCGAGAGCTGCAGCAGAAAACCAACTGTGTGATCGGCCTCATCCAGGCAGGCCAGGCTCTGCACGGTCCTCACTGCATTCAGACACTGAGCGGGAGAGAAAGTGACGACTTTATTTAAAAGATGCCAACAAAAAGAAGACTGCAGGCAGTAGCTAGACACAACATAACAGGAATACAGTCCTGTCCAAGGGTCAGGAAGCTCAGTGTACTTAACAGGTCCACAGTTGTGCATAAGCTGCACAAATAACTGTTTATTTTTGGAACTGCAGGAGCACTTGGGACTGAGGACTCACCAGGCACTGCACTGGGTGGTCAGGTGCTGTGCTCATAAAAGACTGTCCATAAAAGGACAGGGACAGCAACAACACTCAGGTAGGCTGTGGTGTTTAAAGGATGCTTGGCTAATACTAAGGGGCCCACTGATACTTTTGTTGCACATATTTGGAATTCCTGACTTAAAACTAAATACTTTACTGCTAGACAGACAAAACAGGCAGGCTGAAGATGACATCTTTAGATTTAACCTCCTAGGACCTGGCGTCCACCTATGTGGACATCACATTTTGGGATGTCCAGACCAAAATAATACATTTTGCTCTACAAGGGCCTGATATCCAGATACGATGACATTATACTGCCACTGTTCTATCTAAATTCAAAACAAATGTCCTTATATGTGGATCTCATTTCTCTCAGAAACAAAAATCAGTTCGGGTCTTTGGAGGTTAAGAAATTCGATGGGTGTCGTTCTAGTTTTACACCCACAGACACATTTAAGAGGCAGCCCTAAAAGAAGACAAGCATGATGACATGTTTTTGTCTTTTCCCTTGTTAACACAGTAAGTTACTGCAGTCACACCTGTAGTATACGTTCCTGATGCACTCCGACAAAGTCCAGGGCTTCGTTGATGAAGTTGTAGCGCAGCGTCTTAAGCAGACTCTCCATTAGAGACATGCAGAGGCGGTACACCCCGGGCCAGCAGGCCAAATCCTGGGACTTCCGGGAGAAGCTCTGCTCAGAGACATGTACACACGATGTTAACTTGACATGAATGCACCATGTCCTCCATCATCAATCCATGCTTTTATGTGCAAGGTGGGGGAAAAAAAATATTTCACCTGTGATGTGCCATTTGGTGAGACCTCATACACACTCAAAAGAGGCAGGCAGATGGTCTGAGTGACTCCCGCTCCTGCCACAGCTGCTGCCCCCTGAAGGAAAACGGACAACATCCTCAACATCTGCTCAAATTCTTCTGATCTATAAACTGGGTTTAAAGTACTAAAGCGTAAAAGGTGTGTTTGTGTTTACCTGCGGAGTACGGGCCAGCGTGAGCAGCAGGTGAAGTGCAGCCTCAGTAAAGTACAGGTTGCGTTTCATGCGAAGGCTCAGTTCAACGGCACTGAGCACTGAGGGGAGGAGGGGGACCTTCCTCATCACTGAGACCCAGTGCTCACCATCCTCATCAGTGCGGCACAGCTCCTTCGCCAAGTGGAGAGCCAAAACACACACCTGATTTAAAGGGAGGAAAAAAAGTATGTTTATACAGTACATGTTGGGACAATTGATCTAAAATAGATCAGAAAACTAAATAAACTTGAACCTTCATCAACAACAACCTCGCCACGCTTACCCCGTCTCTCTGGTCCTTCTGTGGGCCCCGAGGAGAGTCCGTCTCCATGCTGTCCTCGTCCTCCACCGTGTCTCCCAACTGGCTCGTGTGTCGCATGTTGTCAATAAGTGCCAGGGCCTCATCTTTCACCGTCTCACATACAGACAGCAACAACTGGGGCAGCTGGGAAATATCTCCACCTAGATGTCAAAAAACACACGCCAAGTCATTACCGCTCCGACACTTTCTTAAAACACAGACAAACATCAGATGTGTGCTTCTTACCGTCCAGTCCCTGAATCTGCAGCACAGAAATGAGTGCGGAGAAGATTTTGGCTTTAGTCCTTTCCATCAGCTGCTGGTCAGCCTGCAGGACACTCTCCAGGATAAGGGAGAGGGGAGACAGGATGTCCGGAGCTGAAGCTACCACACTGGAGATAAAGATTTAGAGAAGATAAAGGAATGAGGCGACAGCTAGTGCACAGTGCTGGGCCTTCACTTGTCAAAGGCATGAGTACACACCTTCTCCACTGTTTAAGGAGGATGAGAAGTAAAGTGGCCATCATGGATCCAAGTCGAAGACAAGGCGCAGA